GTGTGCAAGGGCTAGAGCACTTGTCTACAAATCAAAATGCCAGTGTGGTCCAAACTCATCATCCAGCCACTCTGTGGGATAAAAATGTGGCCATCTGCTTCTAGGACTACAGCCTTGAAAGCCCCATGGAGCAACGCTATTCAATCGTATAGGGCATCTGTGAGAGGGAATTGGCTCAATGGCAATGAGTTCTATAGTACCCTCTTAAAGCGCTTATGGGTTAGATAACAATGGCTTCTATTGATTTCTCATTCATTCTTTCTCACAAGAGTGTGGCTGTCAGTATTATTAGCCTCATTTCTCAAATAATGAAACTGAAGATCAATGAGATGAAGGTGGCTGGCTCATCGTCACTCAAATGATGAGCAAAAGGCATACAGGACTGAAAGCAGGCTTGCCTGTTTATACCCTGTTTAAACCCTGTCCTATAGGGTTACTATGAGTCCACATCGAGTTTGGCTTTTTATTCCTGAAGCCAAAGTCACAGAAGCGATCATTATATTAGGCAGATGTGCTGTTGATTTTATGTGACTAGAATGGGGACCTTCTGTTGTGCAGACAACTAACTCGAATGGCTGCTGGTCCAAGTACATCCAGAGTTGTCTAGGAAGAAAGGCCAGGTGATATACAGCACACCAAACCAGCCACTGAGAAGCAGCTGTACTCTGACAGACAAGGATCCACCCTAAAGTTGAAATCGACTCAATGGCAACTGACAAACTGGCTGTTTTTAAAACGGCACAGCTGAAAGCTAACTGGGACTCACAGCCAGAAGATCGACCTTGCGGAGTGGGTTCTGCTACTGGCTGTGTGACAGTGGACAATTCACTATACCTCTCAGAGCTGGTGGTTTGTTCACTTATAAAATCTAGTATGAATGTTTCCTAACAAGAAAGCTACTGTTTTCTGAAGTTGAGTGAAATGAGTGAAATCTTACAAACTGATCGTATTTAATAATGCTACAATGGGAAACTGGCTCTTATAAAGATAGTACAGGCAATATTTTATAACTCAAGGTTATTTATACCTTTTATAACTATGGATGGGTGTACCTTTAAAGATTGAAAATCGTAGCATTTCAAAGCATGACAGAAAGGAACCATGATCCTCCAGGCCCACAAGACTGTCGTTGGGACTAGTCCCTTCATGCTCTTCCAGTTGGCTGACACACGACCCATCCATTTACAAAAAGCCCACTAATCTGATTAGGTTCTGAACACCTGGTTAAAGTTGCTGGGCTTTCTTTCTTTTGTGTGTGGCTTTTTTGGAGATTCATAACCTATACTATATGGATTACAAAAACTTAGGCATATGTTTCTGGCAGCCTGAATAGTTATATTTTACTTAACTTGAAACTTGAAAATGAAACAGGAAATGAAAATAAAACGTGGAAATATGTGTGTTCGGGAGGGGGGGGGCAGGGGATAATATTGAGTCAAAATGAAATATGATATGAGCAAAATGCCAAGCTCAGAATTAATTAAAAAGTTAAAACTTGCTCTTCCTCTTTCTTCATATTTTTTTTGTTTTGTTTTTAGCAAAGTGGGGATAGAGCCAGAAGAGGCCAGAAGAATTCAAAGTCCTAGGATACTAAGTGACTAGCATATAAAGAATGTCATTCATTTCATTCATGGCTGGTCCCGCAAAAAGAAATTTTAGTTTAGCACAGAGGTTTGCACTGTACAGTATGGGGAAAAGTTGAACATTTTTTTCATTTTTAGTGTTTTTGTTCCTGCAGTTGGATTTCACTGTATAATTGATATTCCACATTGAAAACAGCAGTAAAAGTCTGGAGAAATCAAATGCCTACCTTCCCCATCAAATGTTCCTTGTCCTTTCAGCATTTTTTTCTGCAGAAAAAGAAAAAGAAAAAAATGAAACTATGCATAAATAAGCCAAATAGAAAATAGCTATTTTAAGGCAAGCTACTTAGGAGTTGTTTGTTACATTTGTTAGCTTTCCAAATGTGCACTGCAGATAATCCCTGGTGCAGCTCACTCACAGAACCACTACAAATGACTGAAAAAGTGAAATAAAATGTACAATGTCCCCCGTGCCCCATCAAAACAGCCTGAGTATCCTCAATTGACCAACAGTTCAGTTCATTTCACTACTTGTGATTCACCCGCTCTGTGTTAAATTGAACTTTGTTATACTTGCCGAGTTGGGGGGGGAAACACATAAAATGTTGTGTAATTTCTTTTCTTTAAGGCCATAAGGAAGGCTCTAAAATAAAACAGGCTTGCCTGTGCATTACATATTGACATTTAAAGACTGGTTCCAGCTCTCTGAATAATCAAAAGACGATGAGGCTGCCAAAATGAACGGCTGCCTGTTGCCTAGATCTGTCTTGTTTCTGGAGAAGGCAGCACACACAGTTCCCAAATCTCCCTTCAAGCTTTCACTGCTTAAAGAAATGCCATATTTAGCAGGACTTTAGTAAGTGCAGCTCATGGGCCTTCATCAAGGAGGCAGTATCACAAGTGCTAAACTAAAATTGCTCACCCTAACCTTAAGTTTTGAGCTATGAATTTGTAAGATAAATGGGCACTGAAGAATAAATGGGCAGAAAATAGGAACAAAATACAAAGGCCATGGTGAGCAAAACAAGCAATTATATATGTGTGTGTATGCACACACACATACAGCTATTTGTGTTTTATGTAATTCTAGCAATGTTTTTAAAACCCACATGTTACCCAACTGACATCTAGTGACTGACATCTCAAAACACCAACTCACAAATTAAATCAGAAGGTAGCCAATGAACTAAAACGCGAATCTTTTCCTGTGTGGAGTGTGATGGAATCACACATGATTGGCCTATCTATACATAAAGCACCAGCCAACTAGATCACACAATCAAGAGTTCAGTGCCAGCCAGTTTCCAATGGTATGTTTGAAAAGTCAATACAGTATGTGCCCCAACGCTCTGATGTTGACCCCTTCAAATTGTTCCTGAGCCTAGGAAGTTTAAACACTTGTCCTGAGATTCAGATCTTCCCACAATGCTGCATCAACCTCAGCTGTGCCTGCCAACAAGAGTGGCCAAAAGATAGAGGTGCACAGGTATCTATAATAAAAGAACATCATCAAAAGAGAGGAATCACTTCTGTTTTTCTCTATGGCCCCTGCCCCACCACCACCACCCAAACGCACACCCCACCACACACCCCACACACACACACTCACACACACCACCACCACCACCACCACCCAAATGCACACCACACACACACACACACACCCTACCCACCCACCACCATCACCACGTTTACTTTCTACTTAGCCTATGGCACGCCTACTCTTGCACTCTTACCTTGATCCTTCCAAGGCTAGAAAACTTCTCTTTGTCTTCCATCACAGCTTTCAGAACTGGTTGGGACATTCTGTTCTTCTTCTTAGAGTTAGCCGGGCTGTCAAAATCAAAACCACTGAACACTGCTCGGCGATACGACGTGGACCGCAAGCCTCTCCGCAGAGACCCCGGGCTGTCCAGGTCGTTCTCCGCCTCGCCCTCGTCCGCAGCTAGACCAAAGGGCGCTGCCAGCCCCTCCACCATGCTGCGCACCTTGAGGACCCTCTTGTGGGGCTCCACCGTCTGGCTGTTGGATTTACTTAGTTTAATTTCCGAGGCAAGGCCCTTCGGGATGATCTGCTGCTTGCCCATCTTGAGGGCAGCGGGGCTGTTGGTGCTCAAAACCACCGCCGGATTCTCAGGGAGCTCATTCTCCGGTGAAGGCAGCCTTTGGAGGGGTAGTTTGCGTTCCGAAGACCGCTTCTGGGGCGCAGGGGATCCGCGCGCGTGGTCCGGAGCCATCTGCAGGGATGGCGAGTCGCTATGGGGCGCAAACCCATTTGCAGTGGGCGACGGCGCGGGGCTGGCGGTCGGCCCGGGCGGCTCCTGCTCGCGACCGCCCGCGGCGGGCACGTTGGGAGTC